CCCCCCCCCCCAAAACCTAATAAGCTTAGAGCTTATACTAAGTAAACTGGTTAGGAAATCTGTTTCCACTAAGTTATTTTCTGAGTGACAAAATTAATTGCAATGCTAGAGCACTGTGACAGCATTAAAGCAACTCAGATATCAACAACACATTTAGATGTTAGTTGTAGTCATTAAAGGTTCTCTGGAAATAAATCACTTGACAAATACAAAAATAACTGTTCTATAATCAATTCTCTTCAGATTAAATGAAAGTTTTAAAATGGATTGATCATAGGGAATCATTACTGAAGTGTTTTATATAAAAAGGAATGCCTAACATGACATTTCAGTTATTCAAAATAAAATTTCAAAAAAACACAGTAAATCCTTGGGTCAAGACAATTTTTAAAGAGGAAAAACAAAATGAATATCAAAAAAAGATGATCGGAGATGAAGTACATACTTCAAATATAATGCATTTAAAACCTTATTCAGAATCCACTGAAGCAATCTGTGAAGTTGATTACACTTGCACTGTTTTGCTATCAAAACATATTCCTACTACAATAACATTCTGTAAATCATGCAAGGAAGGCTATAAACTGTCTATGCTGATGACATATTATACATAGAACCATGCAAAAATGAACCTTGTTAAACTTAAAATGTGAGGTGACTTGTCTATCAGAATATAGAATGTAATAATTTGTCACAAATGTAAAAGGTTCCATACTACTTGTTCCCTCTACCTTTCCACAGGAGCAAAACATAATGGTTTCAGGTTAATTATATGAAAATCAGTAACAAGTATCTGCAAACATAAGTATGATTATTTTTATAAAAATTATTTACAAAAGGTATATTCACGAGTATATAGCAGTCTGCTAAATAATTTGAGTTCTTTGTCAATAAGATTTTTAGCAACAAATTATGTGCATTCTCCTAATCGTTCTGCCCTTCAAAAGAAACAGAAGTTGCAGATAAACCTCTGCATAGATATTATATACACTGTAATGCTGAAATAAATCAAATAATTTTAAGAAGTCATATTACTAAGTTTAAAATGTACAGCACATTTGCTTTGCCCTTTTATGTCACCATCTTATTTTTCTATTCAAATCTTGTACACTGTAAGTTAATTGCTTTTGGAAGCTACTTATTATTCATGTAAAAATTAATGTGCCAATGTGTTTAAATCCTTTTAAATGACCATTCATGCATCTTTCTTCTTTAAGTACCAATGAAATCGGTCAAAGATATCAATGCAAGATGGTCTTAACGAAAGTTCTAATAAAGATTTTTTCTGCTAACATAAGATTTTCATTTTCACCAACTTTACTTAAATTCCATTAATTTTTTAAGCTGCTTTTAATAAATTCACACGTAAAAATTTTTAGGCCCCATAGTCTGTCATTTGTGTTCCAGCTGACTTTATGAATATTAATAACAGTGTTATCCTGATTAAATAGGCTTCATATGAAATCCCTGTGAATCCTATAGCTCAGACATCTCATTTTTCCAACTCTTTATGAATTTGGATTCAGACATTAAACTGGAAAAAAAATCTTAAAAAACAGATTTAATGGTACATTTGCGTATTCTTAAGCAAAATTAGATGTTCTAATGATACAAATAATTAAAACCTGATAGGTTCACATATTAAGATTTCAGGCTTTCTGTAAACATGCAACATATTTTAACGCTAATGAAAACTTCAACGCTTTCCAGAACATAGGAAGAATCGATCATGAAATACTAATGCTTGTCCTTATACTCACCTTAAATGATAGATAATATAATCTTGACTCTATATATGAGGAGTAGAGTTTCAAAAATATTCCTGCAAATGAAAGAAATATTGATGGATATTCACCCATTTAAATTTAAACACCAAATACAGGTACACATTTATTACAGTATTACTGCAATGCTTTCAATCTTTTAAACACATATAAACATATTTATATTAGCCACTCAAAGTAAACTATGCAACGTTAGCTCTTACCTTGTGTATTTTTGTGTTCATTTCACAAGTGACCTAAGTTTTGGCACAACCCTGTTTGGGAAATTATGTGCTATTTCAACCTCACCAGATTTGGGTGCCTACAATGCGCAGCATACCCACAAATCCTTAAGATCTACCTATACTTATGCATTGCGGTATGCACTCCTATTTCATATCATAATTGGAAAATAGGGTACAAACTCTTTTGTGGTCTGCATATCTAATACCAAAAAGGATCACCTTCATTATGGAATGGCAATTAGAATCATCACTTGCCTCATTCATTTAGGGCCTAATCCTACAAAGGAATCCGCAGAGTCTTCTGCCTTTTGGAGTTGTGGGTGGGCACAGAGGTTAATTTAAGTATATTCCTCTGCAAGAACTGGACCTGAATGACTAGAGTTGCTGATCCCCATTTAGTTTACTCATTAGTAAAGCTAACATATTAGAATGAATGGTTAAAAGGGAAAATAGTATAGATATTATTGTATATAAATGTATTATGCATTTTTCTGACTTTTCAAGAATAACCAACAATAACCTGGTAGCAATGTATGAACAAGTTTATCCCTAGCTTTTTATTGCTGTTTTTCTTTTAAAGAAAATAAGGATTTTGTTGTGCCCTGCATATGCATCCAGGCTCTTCACTCCAGCTCACATTCGTCTATGTTCAGTGACCTCCATATATTTGCAGACACAAAATGATCAGGTTTGCTTTCTCTGCCTCAGCCTACGAAGCTACTCCTTCCATTCATCTGACACAAACTTATGTTTCTGGTTGCATCTGAATGCAATTAGGTCTGCTCTCATCCTATTGCAATCTTAACATATTGGTATGTTAAGATATTGTCCTATCTAAGATATTGGCATATCTAGCTCTTATAATGGACAATAGTCACTTAACCTAAAGCAAACTGACCATTTCAGTAAGACTTATGCCAATAATTCTTACACTTTTTTCAAAAGTCCAAAGAACATGCTATCACAGAATGTCTCAAACTTCCCATGTCATTCACAATTACATAAACATCTCAAGATGAACACAGCAGCAGAAATGCACTGTATAGTAGCTATACCCAAGCTAGCTCCGAAATATCTAGCTCAGTTACTGCTAAGAGATACAGCCATGGCTGAATGGAGTTCAGCATGGGTTAACCACCCAAGTATTTACTCAACTTGTCAGGTGAGTTTTGCAGTGTGCACCGAATTCCCTGCTGCCATGGCTAGTCACAAGCTAGCGACAACAGTGACTGTAGTGCAAACATATCCTAAGGGAGCTGCCTTCCCACGCTGGCTCATACAGCAAAATCACCCTGGTGAGTTTTAAGTCATCTTAAAGGACTTTGATAACATATCACTGTATTCAGATGTTAAATCATTCTTTTTTAATGAATAACTATTATCACCAAAGTAGAGTGGTTTTGGAGCCAAGAACTTGTGGGCAGTATTGCCAATGTAGTGCACATTCATCAGACTGATAAAAATTGCTTCTTTGTGTTAGGTCATATTTTGCTCACTATACAGGTAATGCCTTAGTGTTTCTGCACAAACATCCTTTTGCAATTAAATCCCAAATGGAAACACTCTTGGGAAGCACCACAGAAGGCTCAACAGACTGGATGAAATGTGCTGCTGTGTGAAGTCAACATTCTCCAAAAAAGTTAAATTAGTAAGCAATTTGCACTGAAAAGCAGATACACACCAATACCAGAACTAGAAATTGGGCTATCATGTGTTAACACTAGAAGAAGAGCAAATCACAAAGGTTACTTACATTTATGTATTCCATATTTAACAGTCACATGTTACAAATTTCTTATTTCCTACTAATGCACAGGCAGGGATTGGGGCGGTGGGGAGCAATGGAGACATACCCCCTTCCACTGCTGTCCTTAGCTGATCTGGGTGTGGAAGGAGACTTAGCGCAGCTCCTGTCCCATTCCAGCCATGGGCTGGGCTGTGAATGTGCTGGGCATGAGGCTTGGCAGGTAACAGCAGCAGTGGTGCATGGGTTCCTCCTTCCAGTACATGCTCCCTGCCTGATCCTCACCCACAGGTGTCCCCTGATGGCCAGGAGCAGGCACTGAAAGGAGGAACCTATGTGCCACTGCCACATCCCTGGTTGATGCAAGTACAGGACGGAGCTCCAGAGCCATTCCTGATATGCTCCTGCCCTGCACTGCTCCAGGGGGCTGGGGAAGTGGCTGTGGGGGAAGCTGGGTTTGGCCAGGGGCAGCAGTGGTGGCACACAGATTTCTCCTTCCAGTTCCTGCACCCAGATAGCAGGGAGGGGCGGTGTGAGGGTGGGAATAGAGAAGGAGGGCAGAGGACAGGGGCTGGAAGGAGGAAGTTGCATGCCACTGCTGCTGTCCACTACAGAGCCCATCTTCCCACACAGCCTCTCTCCTAATCTATGCCTGAAGCAGGGCAGGAGTGGCTCTGCACCCCTCCTCTATCCCCAGGTCTGCCAGAGACAACAGAATGGTGTCAGGAGGTAAAAAACGTTACCCACCTGGCATCCCAGTGTCCCCTGCCAACCCAGGGGCTCCAGCCACATCTCACTCTTGTCCTCCCCATGATCTGAGGGGCAGTCTCTGCTGCACTCTCCGCCCCCTGCCCCTTAGTAGATTTTGGATCATCCATGCAGTTACTTTCACCTTCTCCTCCTAAACTTTCAGACAAGCAGCTCCTGGTCAGGGGTTAGGAAACTGAGTTCACCTTCTCACAGATTTCAATGCATTCTTTCTTGGGTGCAAGTTCAGAAAGTGTAGTGTTTAGCTGGGAGTTGTTCGTGACTCCCTAGATATTCTCTAAAATCTTTGCCTACTAATATGATTTACAGACAACTTGTGCCTCCAAGTCCTCTTCTTGTTCCTCACCATTGAGTTTAAGAGCCTAGGGACCAAAGACTTTCCTGCTAACCATTGTCACCAGAACCATCACCAGAGACTAAATAAAAGTTTGAATTAATACTAATTCTATTATCATTCTAAGAATTCTTTTACTGAAAAGTCAGTCAGGCTTATAGGGGTAATAGGTCATAAAGAGCGACCATCCTCCCTACTCTCTCTTCCAGAGCTACACAAACTCATTCCCACAAAAGCATTTTTGAAGAAGTTTCTAAGACTGCACAAAGACAAGGACATGATACTAAGATTGGTAGGATCCCTGTCTCACTACCTCGCTTGCCTGGACATCCCCATTTTTCATCCCTTCCATTCATAAAAACAAGTGGGGGTCAATACACCTTACAGGCACAATTTTGTTCTTTGTTAGGATGGAAAGATCATGTAAGATTGTGTACAGCTTTTTATTTTTAAATATACTAACTACCAGCCTTCCATACATTTGGAATGGAACCAAAGCCAGCATTTGTCTTGTACAATAAAAGTTAGTGACAGTTACCATTGTTACATGAGGGACATTGAGAATGAGTTTTATAAAAGCAGCAAAGATCTTACAGTTTATTGATAAGGAAGCACAGTTTGAAATTCAGTACTATTTTCATAAGGTTAATTAGACACCAGGAACTTCTAAAATATCCTGAAACGTTTTGCCTCAGGCCAATCCAAACCAAATGACTTAATCTAGGAAGACATGCTAAATAAAAAAGTTAGCTCTGAAGGCATTTCCCCAGGGAATGAACAGACAGCTTTCTTAATGTTCACTTGGATGCCAAGTTTTGATGCGGTGATGCACACCCCCACAAAAGGCTTACATTTCCACACTGAAAACTGAACATACTGGCATATCAAAAATTGATGAGCGCCCAAGACACAACCAAATCAGTCTGTGATTGGCATAAAAACTCTCTACCTCTCAAATAAGACAGAGGTAGTTAGCCATTTTAGGATGAAGTTAAGCAGAAGGCTGGCCAAAGGTGGCACCTTATGGACTACCTCAGAGAGGCATAAGCCTTCATAGGCTGCAGCCTACTTCATAAGAAATAAGCTAAGTTAGTTACTGCAAATACATAACATGGAATTTCATGCTTTCATGATTTTCAAGTATTCTCATTTAAAACCTAAACTTTCTCTTACAGTATTTGGATTATATGCCATTTCTTCCTTTTTCTATTTTAAAAGAAAAATAAATTGTGTACATGTATAAGCAGCCCCCAGCTTGCATCAAGATCTAGGTTTGAATTCTGAACCTCCAACTCTGCTGCAAAGGACTTTACCAATGGAAATACAGGATGTACTGCGTCTCTTACACCATCCATCCAGAGTGGCTGGTGATTCCTGGCTTTACCATGTACCTGAAAGGGGAGGCACACAGAAGCTTTGGAGAAGGTTCAATCCAATGCACATGAAATGTTTTGAAAGCACTTGCCATGTATTCTCAGTGCAGTGTTTGTTGCTGCTTTGGTGGTAGCATATGCCTATCAAGAGCCTGGAGAGGTATCACCAGTGATGCCTCTGGAAAATTCTCTGAATCAAATGTGAGGATTGCCACACAAATGCCAGTATCTTTGCTGAAGCCATTGTTACCGGCGCTGAGTCGGTGATCCTCAAGCACCAACTTCACTGGACCAGGCATTGCATGAGGATGCTTGACTCCAAAATGAGTGCTCTACTCCCAGTATAGTTGAGGTTGAGATCTCATGACAGCTAGAGGAAATGCTACAAGGACACACTGAAGGCATTCTAATATAATAAAAGTCTTTGTCTGTCTGTCTGCCCGTAACACTTTATTCGCACTTTGATTGGCTGCCAAGACAACCAATCATAATGCTTAATGAAACAACCAATGAGAGTGCTCCAAGTGCATTCTGGACAGGAGACGGTGGTAGCGGTGTGGCGGCGTGCTGCCATGATGGCAGGGATGGAGCAGGGGGGCAAAGCTAGTGGTGCTGGCCTCATCCCCTCTCCCCCTGCTTTCTGGAGGCAGCTGTGGCAGAGGGTGCTGGCCGAGGGGGATGGAGGGGACAGTGGGGCAAGCTTCCCCACCCCCCCTGCTCCTCGGAGATGGTGGCGGCATGAAGTGGTGGGTGGCAGCACTCTGTCCCCCCCATTCCTGATGGGCAATTGGCTAGTACCTCAAAAAAAGAGATGCTAGCATCAAGAGCTAAGAGGAGCTGGTTGCTAACTAACTCCAATGGCATTGCAGCCACAACCAAATGGCAGCTCATTTCAAGGTTAAGTGCCTTGCCCTCAAAGCAGAGAAGAGACAGTGGAAGAAGGAAAAGGAAAGGACTCTCAGCCTACAGTCAGCTGCCCCCTCCAGAAAGGCCTGCAACTTTTGCAAACAGGTGTCTACTCCAAACCAACAAAGATCATCAGTGGTCTAGGAAACCAAACTTACCATGGAAAGTTGGAAGATTGACATTATATAGGCTGCAAAAGAAAAGTTTAAAGGGGGATTTGATAAGAGTCCACAAAAAACATATTTTCTCACATATCATATGCCCCCAAATAAGACACACACCTTATTTTTGGAAAGCCAGAATGAGGAAAAAAATATTTTGCCAGCACTATGGCTGCATAGAGCAGGGACAGAGCCTAATCTTCAACTTGCTCATTCTCTTGCCTGCTCAGGGCAAAAGCTACACTTCCAATCCTTTCACAGCTGAACTGTTAGTAGCTCTTGTCTGCTCAGTCAAAAGCTGAAACTGTAGGGTTGGATAGAAAGGTTCAAAAGGTGGAAATCGTGGTGGGAGCTACCAAATCTAGAAATGAAGTAGAAGTAGAAGTACTTAGCTAGCAGATTTACATTTTCCTCAAAAGTCACCTCTAAAAATATTGAATTTTCCTAAGAGCAAATTTACTGTAAACATAAAATAAAGAACTGTAAATAGTTCATCACTAATTTCTAAACTGCATGATCATTACCACTTACTTCAGATGGGCCTGCTCTTTGCACTGTATTCTTTCTGGACACAGAATAAAAAAAACCTGGGAACCCATATATTTCTGCCACGTAGTTTTCCAAGTGTTACAAAAAAAAAGTGCGCATCTATTTTTCTTTTAAGTAATGTTAAATGCAGATGGGCAGAGACGGAACTGTTGATCCTCTTAACTTGTGTGGCGCACAGTTCTGGGGTCCAAACACATTACAGGTAAGTTATAAATCATCATAAATCTAAGAAAAACATCCATAAAAGTAAAGTGCAAATTCTGCCCAAAATCTCTTATGCACTGCTACAGATTCATTAAAGCTAACAGGGTTGTATAAGTATAACAGAGGACATATTTTTGCTGACAGATGTTTAAAGCTTCAATAGCAATTCCTTCCTCAATTTAAAATGTTTTAAGTACCGTAAACAAATCATCATCCAAACAGTATTTTCCCTATGCCCCACGGAAAAACTCTACCTTTCAAAACTAGGTAAAAAAGTTATTAAATCAATAATGCACTTAGGGATAAATATGCTATAGCCCATTAACAACACTTCAGACTATTTTCAGCACCTACACATTGGCTTTGTAACTTGCAACATACCTAAGGTGTATGATACGGCACATGCCCTATCATGTGCTGTTGCTTATTTAGCTTAGGATAGGTAGGCTAGTGTTTCTTTCAATGTAACACAGAAGATGTTTCTCTCAGATTGTTTGAGATACTACAGAAATTAAAAGGGAAAAAGTACTTAGAGGAGCCAGCTAAACAGCCAAGGCAGTCGGGCGGGGCGGGGGAAGGGAAGGAAGCCTGGCACCATTGCAGAAGAATCACATATTGTAAAGCAAGTCAGAGCCTAATGAATACAGCAGACAAGCGTGACATCGGAATGGAATTCAGCATGATGAAAACAGTTCAGAATGTAAATGGATACTGAAAATTAAAGGACCCAGCCTGCAAGTGCTTGCTCCCCTCAGAGTTGTCCCCATTGCAATGACAACAGTAGGGGGCAAAAATGGAACTTTGGGTTTACATAAATGTAGATGGATCTTAGGGGTGTACTGGCTAATTGTAGGATGATCACCAGGGTCCTGGTTTTCTCTATTTAAAAATCTAAAATTCTCCGATTTAAATAATTTCCCCCCATAATCTGCATTTTTCCATAATTAAAATGAAACATCACTAGATATATAGGTATCAGTTGAACATAATGTTTTATCAATATATTTACAATTTTAAAGCAATTTGGAAGTCTACCAGTGCCTCAATCATCATATAAAATAAATTTCAGATACCTATATAATTTGACATTTGATTTTTTTAACCACAGAAAATCAAATCTCCCCTTTCCCGACAGCCATGTGGGTACAGCTGCAGCTGCCCTCTCTGTTGCTTTGTGGCACTGAGCGGCCCTGATATGCCAGACCTTGCTCATGCCGTTGCCCCTTACTCCCAATCCACAACCCCCCAGCTGGTGCCCCTCACTCTGGACCTGCAGCCCCCTGGCCCTGCCAGTGCCCCTCACTTCCAACCCGAAGACTCCTACCCTCCAGGCCTGTTGGTGTCCCTCACTCCTGACCCGCTGCCCCTGAGGTCACTTGCACGGCTCAAGATCTGGCTGGAGCCCCTTTCACACAGCTGCAGAGCCCAGAGGCTGAGTGCTCAACACTTCTGCAAATCCAACCCCAAGTATTTCAAAATGGGGCCTAGAAAGTTAAGAGTATCAAATTAATAGCCAACTGAAAATGTTGGTTTAAACAAACTTGCCCAACACTACACGGGAACTCTGATAGACTCCAGACTCCACTGTTAAATTCAACTCTACCTATTCAGCATCACATCTCTTTTCACGATCATCTGCTTCACTTGTTGTACACCTTACTTGGTCATATATGTGATCACGCAAATAATGCTTGTGTCAACAGGGAGAGGGTCTGCTCAATTGATGTTTTCCTGGGTTGCAATATATTTAGATCAAAGAGACTCATCAGAGGTTTAGTTGCTAAACTCTGGCAACTCTTTAGTTGTCACATGAAGTGACAACTTTCAAAGGCTTATAAACTGACAAAATTTTCACACAGATGTCAGAGGACATGTAGCCGACACCCGAGCAATCCACCCCCTCTATCAAATTTCAAGAAAACTATTGTAAAAAAAATACCAATGCTTGAAGTTTCCAAATGTCTGTAAGAATATACAAAACGATCTTCTTCCTCTTGAGCTTTTTCTTGGAAAAAACCTCAACCTCCTCATCTGAAAATTAAAAATGAAACAGAACCAAAAGTGAGCCAGAGGCAAACATCAGACAGAAAATTTCAGCCCCAAATGCTAAAATTTTGCAGAAAATCACAAGCAACTGAAACTGAAGTACAGGGCAATGTTAATCATAATTGGCCCTACCAGCACCCTTACAGTAAAACCCTTACTATTTATTCTGTGTTTCCTTTTTAACATCAATGAAATATTACTTAAAACTGATTTGAAATACATATTTGAATAAATGGAACATTCTAGTTGGATAATATTTCTTTCATTTATGAAGTTATACAACCTAGGTCATGAAGAACAGCCTTGCTTTGCTAAAATATTCCATGACTGTGACTTGAATAAATATCAACTGCAAATGCTTACAGTGCATGTCACACATGATAGCTGCATTACCTGGACTAGACAATGAGAATAGGGGGGAAAAATTTTCAAAAAAAAAAAAAATCACAATTTACACAGTAAAATACCTTTCAAAAATTCCTTTGAAGACATTTACTTGGGTGGAGTTCAGATAAGTTTAAGGTTACACAGTTAATAGAAAAGCTGCTTATTTGTGATTCAGAGCATTTTTGTTACTAAGTTGATATGGCAAACAGTCAAACTGAAGTAATAATTTTTTCTTGTTGCAACATGGAACTATCTAGCCTGTTTCAGCAAGCTTTTCTACTTGAGTTTTGCCTAGAAACAGGAAGATAGACAATCTTTTTTTCCTATAAATACACTGGCACCTCAATGAGCTACATATTGATGAATCACAGAAACCTAACTCCTTTTATTCTCAGGCTCATGAAGTTATACTGACATGTTTTCATTACCAACGCTCTAGATATTATGGGAGAAAAAAGAAATGTACTTAACTAACAGAGGTTTAAAGAAACTAGATTAATACTGGGCAGCATCCACATGTATTCATGGATAGAGCAAGGCTACACCAGAGGACAGAGCTATACAGTATATCCATCTGCTCTCTACCTCTATGGGTGGAACAAGTATTGGATTTACTCAAACATAACATGAAGTTTTCCCTCAATCAACACGAGGAAAAAGCCCTCATCTTATATTTGTATACAAGGAAACCTCACAAAATACACTATCACTAAACTGCTGCCAAAAGCAGCATGTGATTAATAATTATGAAGTTGGTTAAATGCAGCCAACACTGGGCAAGACTATAAAACACATGGCCTATGTGGGGCAAACACAGTAATGGGAATAGAGATGTGAAGGCCTGGAAAAAAACTCAGAAAAATTAGGAAAAAAACTATTTCCCCCCATTTTTTTCTGAGGACTTTTTTTGTTTTCTTCTGAAAATTGGAAAAATTGAAAATTTTTTGAAAAATTAAAAAAAACCCTCTTATAAAATATTTTCTTTTGAATGATGAATAAAATGTTTAAGACAAGGGGTTCATATATTGCTACCCTTTACTCCCCCAAAATGTTTTCTAATAACTATATAATATAAAGATTTTTACCTAAGACTATCTACAGTACCAGATCATTACAATTCCTGTACACCGAGGACAAGCAGTACAGCACAACTCTCAGATGCAAGAGCAAGATCCATTTCTGCCCCCAGGGCGCGCTACCATTTCACAAGAGAAGGAAGGATTCAGTGCCTTCTTTGCTTGTGGACTTCCTCTATTGTTGACTTTTGATCTAGAGTTTGGTGGATCTGTTCCTGTCCTCCTGACTAGGCCTCAAAGGACTGGGAATAGACACTAGCAGCAGCATCCATTCATTCCTGTAGAGATTAGAAACAAGCAGCGTATTGCCGTGCTTGCTAAAAACCCCCAGGGGAAGAGATCAAGTCTAAAGGTTTTGGAGATGGAAGGGCCTCTTCCTGGCCCTGTGACCTTGAGATCCACAGAAGCAGCACAAAGGAGCTGAAAGGAAGTATACTTCTTTCTTGAAAGATAAGAATTTAAATGCATCTGAATTCAATATATTAAACTATATTTTAGCTGCATTAGTATATTTTCATAACCTACATAATTCATAACTGAATTCCTATTTGTGAAGATGCAAGAGTGGCAGAAGTGGCAAAACACGGAGAATGCCGCTTCCAGAGCAGCTGTCTCTTTAAGACAGAAGTGCCAAGAGAGCAGCAGCGCGGTGGGCTGAGAGAGTATTGGGAGATGAAAGGAGAAGGAAAACAGCCTGTTGGGATGAAGGAGACACTGGAGGATCCTTTCTCTGAGCTGTAGGTAGATTGGTCAAGCTTATTTGAGCTCAGATTGAATGGAGAAGAAATTTAGTCTCCCGGGAAGGACTCCAAGCAGCCAACGGGAACGTTGGCTGCAGCGGCGATGAGCTAAAAGGGGACAATTACTTTGCAGGGTACACATAAAAAAAAAGTATTTAGGGTTTCTTTGTTTGTGTTTGGAACATTTGTTGAAATGAAACAAGAGTTCAAAGAATTTCATGAAAGAGAGGGTCTGAGTGATGGCTACTCCAACATCAGAAAGAAGCAGAATCACTCAGGGAGATCTGGGGAGATAAGATCTCTCTTAAAGGCAGAGTGCACTGAGCAAAGCGAAAAAAAGGAAAGAAGAATTTTGTTGTTGATATCAGCCGTTAAGTTTCAGTTAATTTATATTATATCTGATATAAGAGTGAAGTAAGACAACAGAAGAGTTACTAAGTTAAAATTTAAGAGATACCTGAAAGGCATACAATTGCCATATTCTGTCTGACTCTGTATCATTCAAAAAAAATGTAAAAAGAAAATTAAAATAAAGTTATTAACACAAATCAAACTGATTCTATCTCTGACTTTAAGTTCGGGTGTCATCAAGAGGAGATTTGATTGAGCTGGTGATCCAGTAAGTCCATATGTAAGTTGCTGTTGTATGATTGTGGTAAAAAGAAAAAAAGAGCAAGTAACACCTCCCGACTAGTAACATCAAAAAATATTCAAGATGTGGCAGGCGAGAGAGTCGGAATGTACCACAAAGTCTCAAATAGTGGCAATCACAGGAAAGGGTCTTAATAAGCAAAAATAAACAGAAACATCACACTATTAATCTGATGTTTTGTGACAAATGGCCCAACCTTAGCAGTCAGGTGATGCCTGCAGGGCAGGGAAGTTGTTCACAGCTAGCTCTGAGGAGGCCTCTCCTCCATTCATTACTAAATTTGTACATGCTATAGCTTAGTGTTTATATATGCAAGCTAGCCACTAAATTACATTTTTCTTTTTTCTTCCTCAGCAAAATGGTGCAACCAATTTCTAACATATGGAAACATTTCCACGCTGTGAGTTATTCTGAGAAAAAAAATGTGATTTGCAAATACTGTCAAATGAAATATGCATTTCCAAATGCTACTAGGATGACCAAACATCCTTGTATGTAAGAAGTGTCCTGCAGACATTAAAAAAAATCCTACATGGATGTAAGTGAGGAGGAGGTAGATCATGATACTGAAAGTGGAAGTAGCTCTTTCCAACATTCTTGATCCAGAAGTCCTGCTGCTGCTACTGCTGCTGCTGCTGCTTCTAGAACATCAGCATCACAAATGGTTGCTCAATCAAGATCCTCGAGTAATCAAATATTGCAACCAACTGTATACAAAATACTCTCAATAGCTTCATTTGTAGACAAGTTCACACCTGAAGATCAGGAAAATTGACCAAGCTCTTGCAACAGCAATATATTGACAATGGCATCCCAGAAGAATAACTGAAAATACATACTGGCAGGAAGCTTTTAAAGTACTAAGACCATCATATCGTTTTTCCAGCACATATTCTTTGAGCAAGCCTCTTTTAGAGTCAGAATATGAACATGTAATGCAATCTGTGCAAGAAAAAAAATCAATGAAGCACTATGTCTTGCAGTACTCACAGATGGATGGACAAAGGTGTGGGGAGAAGGAATCATAAACTTTGTGATAACAACACCTCAACCAACTTTTTACAGAAGTATTGAACCAGGAGAGAACAGGCATACTGCAGAATATATCAGTAGTAAAATATGTGAAGTCCTACATAAGATTGGGAGTGGTAAAGTATTTGTTATGCAGACTGACAATGCAAGTAACATAAAAGCAGCATGGGAGCTCATAATGCATAAATACCCACATATTACTGCAATAGGATGTGCATCCCATGGGCTAAACTTGCTTCTAAATGATATCATGAAGTTGGACACTCTGCAAAATATCTATAGAAGACCATAAGAAGTTATAAAACATGTAAAAGCTACTCATATTGTAGCTGTGGTCTTTAAGAAGAAGCAGGAAGAAAAGAATGCAAAGAATAAAATGGTGACACTCAAACTGTAGTAAAACTAGATGGGGTGGAGTGGTGATCTCATTTAAAAGTTTACTAAAAAAATGAAGCAGCTCTTCAAGAAACAGTAATAACTGAGGATTGTAAAATAACCAAAAGCATAAGGAACACTGTTAAAGTACCCAAAAGTGTAAGGCACATTAATGAGGATGTCTTCTGGGTTCAGCTGCAATGAAGCAGCTCTTCAAGAAACAGTAATAACTGAGGATTGTAAAATAACCAAAAGCATAAGGAACACTGTTAAAGTACCCAAAAGTGTAAGGCACATTAATGAGGATGTCTTCTGGGTTCAGCTGCAGAACTACCGGAAGATTCTAAAGCCAACTTCTTCAGAAATCACTGCATCTGAATCAGACAGTGTACTTTTGTCAGACATTCCTTACCAAATGGCTCAGATCAAATCAACTGTTTTTGAGAATCTAACTGTATCTCCACTTACAAGTACAGAAGAAAGAAAAGTGAAAGACTTTATGAACAGACAGGAAGAATTTTGTTGCCAATTGATTCATGCTGCTGCAAATCTTTTGGATCCAAGATTCAAAGGCAGATGTTAGTGATGATAGCACTGATACTGCATTTGACTAGATTACAAAACAAGCAATACACTTCGGACTTGATGTTGGAAAGGTACTTTCAAATGTTGCAGAATGCCTTCAGGAGTTTAGTCCAGGAATGCAGTCTGGGACTCTGCCAA